CTCCTTATTCACACAATGTCTCAGCTGACCTTTTCTGTACCCTGGTTATTGCCAAACACGAGATCTTCCAACGCCAAGATTCTATGCAATCTGGGTGTTTTTATAACTACTACTAGTAATTCCATTCCCACCAGCAATCTTGCCTTTTTTTAACCAGCAGTGTTTTCAGATGTCTGAAGTTACTTTTTACTCATGCCTTTTACCAATAAATTGCAATTTGCCATCCAGCGATCTAACTAATGTCTAAAGTATTTACAAATTGTTACCGACTCTCCTTTCGGTGGGAAAAGCAGGAACAGTAAGTGTTAATGGTGAATGGTGTTCACTGTGCTTACAGGAAAACCTCCGGACCCCACTGTGCCAGTTGTTCGTACCGTCTCAAATGTGATTTGTTCTGTGATTTTTTTTTTTTTTTTTTTTTTTTGGACATTGCTTCTCTAAAGAAGATGAAAATTTTCACTGCTTGATGGAATCCATTGATACTGTCACAGCATTTGGCAACAGCATCTCTCTTTTTGTGAAGAAAATGATTTGTTTGTTTACTTTATATAGATAGACAATGAAAAAGGCAACTTGCTTGTTACTTTTATAACAAAAATAAATACTAGTGCACCTGGAATACACATCAGAGCAGTACTTCCAGATACCTAGTTCAAAACTTGTTTCAATTGCTTATGCTTCATCATAGCACAGAAATTTCCCATGTCTGGTGGACAGGGATGGGAACACATAGGCTTGCTACATGTTTGGGAGATGTACAAAGGACTTTCTTGCAAAAGTGCTCCCTGTACAACTCCAGCGTTTGCAACTATAACTGAAACTCAGTAGTAAAAGACAGGTAAAAATATCTGAAAAGCTCTGAAATAGGCTTATCTTAAATTCTGTCTGACAAAGTGGCTTTCTTGACTATATGAAGTCATATGACTGTCAACAAATGTCAAGAGTAATATGGGTCTTTACTACTTCCTTCACTACTGTTAGCTAACTTCATAGAAACTTAAGTAAAGCAACTGTTTTGCACAAAAGTAACATATAATGAAATTGCTTAATGGTAGCTTTTTGCTGTTGTTTTGGCAGCAATACCTGTACCACCTCCAGATGTCCTTACGAGAACTCAGTAATACAGGCTGGAGGTCACTCTCCATTAGCTGCCAGGTGATATTTGTCTCCATGCAAGACAGCAGCTCCTAACTTCACATCTGGTCCACTGGACAGAGAAAATTGCTGTCTTGCTTCCGTGTGAAGCTGTGACTGCAGCTGCAAAAACAGTGGAACGGTCTGCCTCAAACAAGGGCAGTTTTATCATTAACCATTTATGAACGGGAATCACAATACTGTATACAGTCAAGAAGTCAATTTACCAATGTACAAGGCAGCCTGCTTCTGCAGAACGTGCTAGAACTCATCCGGCTTTGTATCTTGCATGATTTCCACCATCTCTTACTAACTGGAAACTGCTGTAATCAAGGTCCTAGAGAATTTGAGGACCAATTTGACACTTTTGGTAAATAAAATAAACCAAAACTGCTTATGATTTTTTTCTCCCAGAAGATGCAGATGGAATGATTCCTAAGCTATCTTCTAATCAGGGTGAACACAGGATCAGATATTTCCAAACTGCTCTCAGGTATTTATGTAAGTTTTTCTTAAAAACTCTTAATAGTATGTCCACAGCTAACAAAAACATTCTAGTCCAATGTTTCATTCTGTCCTGCTCTCCACAGTGCTTTCACAGTGATGTACAATCCCTTAATGACGGTCTGTACTAATCCGTTTTCCTGGTAAGTGGACAGGTAGTTTTAAGCAAACCTATGCAGTAGGATGAAGCAGGAATAGAAGCCAGGAATCTGAATAGGTTTGTGGGAAGATAAATCTTTGTAATGCAGCTGCCGTTTAAATAGGTGAGCCCAAGAGTTATGACCTAAGGCATAATTTAAGCTTCAGTAATTCTGTAAACTGGAAGGACATGGTGCAATCTGTAAAAGGGGAAAAAAGAAAGGGAAAGGAAGTAAAGGAATGGAATTAGTGTAAAAAGGGTTTCGTTTCTTTTCTGTTGAGATGTGGTTTTATAATGGTATAAGTGCAAGAATGTGAATAGGTTTAGAACAATGAATAAACAGTAGGGAATCCACATGGCTCTGTATTTCTACTTCATTAAGTTGTTTTGCATATTGCACAGATGTGACATATTTGCTTCTTATCTATGAGAAGGCATATCTGAGGAAAATCCCCATGCATTCAGTATCCTATAGTAAGAAAATAAGCCTGGGTTTGGATATTTCTATTTTGAGTTAGCAGATGTGTCAAGGAAGCCAGCCTGGATCTGGTTTTTTACTGATGAGATAGAAATGATACGTACGTTGGATAAACTGAGAGCAGGGACATGTTTTATATGAGGCCCTTGATACTGAAGTTCAGCCTAGCAAAGAACTGGGGTACAGAGGAACTTCATTTATTCTTTGTGCATCACAATGGAAAACTTATAGCATAAAACTAAGAGAAATTCTGCTCCAGGGAAAAATGGGATTAAGAAAGGCTTTAATGAATCATGGGATAAGCACTATCCCTTCAATATAATGGTGAAGATGCAGTCATCAGAGTCTTTCATTTGCTTTTTCTACTACCCAAAAGCCTGTATTAGGATTCAAATATAGTTTGCTAATGTCAGTAACACCACATATCTAAAATATCTTTTATAGGTATGTTTTATAGGTATATAGGAAATGTTTCCCTGTCTTGTGAGCCATTTCCTAGCACCGTTTAAACAGACTATGTATGTCCAGCATAAATTTTGTGAACACTACTAGCAAAGGAACTTGAAAGCCACAAAGAAAAAGGAAAACCAGGTGAAAATCAAGATTTTTATTGATTACTATTTGGATGAAATAGATAAAGTCAGTATCTCTGAACTCTCATCACACTCCACTAACAACAAGGGGTTTTAGCTGCTCCTTTGATTATAATGATGTCTAATATAAATTTAGAGATATACAGTTTCTCAATAGAAAAGCTTAGAGGTAGATGAATTAAAAAAAGCTGACACTAAGACATGGCAGGAGGAGGATGAAGTAATAATGCAAGTAGATTTACAGGTAGATTATACATGACCACAATAACAGATCTGCATATGGTTAAGGTACAACTAGAAAGGACTTGTTATGACGGGATTTGCAGCAGGAGTAGAAAGCATGTACAATTAGTAACTTTGTCATGGCTGAAGAACAAAATGTGTATGTGGATAGGATAAATTGACAAATGTACTGGAGAATATTAGAATATCTTCATATTATTCAGAAAGTTTAATTTTCTACCCCCCCCTTTTTTTTCTCATTTTGGATTGTATCAGTAAATATTCCTGTCATGCAAGGTGGTTTACTTCTTTTTTGTGTGACATAACTTGATCTTTACAATTCATATCTGCAGGCTGAAGGAGATGCTGATGCTACTTACGATGAAGAAAACTGGACTCAGACTATTTTTGACCTCTTTCTGGCAGATACAGAAACTACAGCCACCACTTTACATTGGGCGTTGCTCTATATGGTGGTTTATCCTGATATTCAAGGTAAGCACACCCAGATGGTTTTCCAACCTTTTAGAGATTATACGTGTTCAAATAGTAGTACAGCTTGTTCAAAGAATAGTGGAGGAACTAATTATTAGGGTATGCATCAGGTGAACTGCATGTATCTGTATCCTTTGTAACATACAGGCCAGTCATTTTGGGTTTTGTTTTTAAGACATCTATACAGAACACAGGGTGTGGTTCATCTGATCAGGTGGAGGAGTCTGGTTGCGGATGAGATAAATTGCACCATTGCCCCTCCACTGACAGTAATGATTAGACTTCTGCTGAGAGCAAAGTGCAGTCATCAGGTCAACCCATGACTGCTACTCTTTGATGTGCTGGCTTCTTTGCAGCAGAAATAATTTCAATATGTGTGGTTATTCCGTGAAGCTTAAAACTTCACGCATAGATATCTACATATAAATAGATATAAAAAAAGATTGGGGTGAGTGGCTTGAAGCTATATGCCTTTAATAATGATATTCACAGAAGAAAGATATAGGTTGGCAGAGTAAAATAAGTGAAAAGGAAGAGTCAGAATGTATAGGATTGAACGGATTAAAAGGTATACAAATCACTTAGGAGGCATCATATTTGAGAGTTTAAGCTGGATACCAGGCACAGCAGGAGGCTGGCAAGAAGAAAATGGTGGAAGTGGTAAGGAGAAAGGATCTTCCATTGTTGTTACCTAAGAGCTCTTCAAAAGACCTAAAATTTGAGAGTGGATTGCACTTACTGAATTTTCACAATATGATCTTTCATCCTCTCAGAATATATTAAAAGAGTCTTAAGTTTCCTGATGCATAAGGTCAATCTAATTGCATCGATAAAGGCTGTAGTATTAATCAGACCATTTCAGCTCAGAAATTAATCAGAAATTACCATTTCAGCTCAGATTGTAAGTAAAAAAAAAAAAAAAAAAAAGCCCTTGAGAAAAGTTAATTTGTGTAAATGCTTCCCAAGGCAGGTAATTATAGAATAGCAATTAGGCTATCTGTAGATGACAAGCAAAATCTATGTGGTTCTGAGTGAAGAACAATCCTTCCTCAGTTACTAAACTGGTCTCCTAATACATGATTAATATTTCATTTTCCAGTTGATTCCCTGCCTGTAAAAATAAATATTAATAAAAGTCTTTTTATAAATTACCTCAGAGCAGTAAATGTAATAGGAACCTAAATATTCTTATAGAATGACTTTGTCTGCTACCATTATTTTTAAAGTCTTACTTGGGTATGCAACCTATAAACAACTTTGGTGTCAAATTTTATCCAGGTCATCTGTATGGGAATTTGAAGGCATTCTTATTTTATAAAATATCTTTTTCATCTTGTTGGATGTTATTCTTACTGTAAAAAGCAATAGGAAAAATGATGAGTATAGAGTTTATAGATTGTTCATTGTATATATAAAGCTGAATATTCCTCCTTAGAGAAATTCCAAAAGGAACTGGATGCTGTTCTGGGTTGTTCCCATTTAATTTGCTAGGAGGACAGGAAAAAGTTGCCCTGTACAAATGCTGTAATTCACGAGATCCAGCGATACAGTAATATAATCTTAATTGCACTTCCCAGGCAGAGCATGAAGGACATGGAGCTGCTGGGATTTCCTGTTCCAAAGGTACAAATATGCTGCATATTTGAATATCTGATGTCTGGTACACTTGTAACAGTTTTTAAAACTGATTTAATGTAACTTTTTTACAACTCACCTCAGCTAGTGATTCCCAAACACTGTCCTTTTTTAGTTTATTTTGATTTAATTGCTCATTTAGTTGGAAAGCAACTGTGATTGAGAACTGCCAGTATCAGTAGGTCTTTGGTACATTAGATGCATTTAGAAAGACTTTTGAGGGTTTTCCTGATTGGGGACATGAACTCTTTTGTCCTACCTGTTCTAGCAGTGCCCCTAAGCTATGACTGTCTCTAAGGTTGGCCTTTTGCAAGAAAATGTGCACTTTGCCCTAACTATTAGTAGGTTCTTAGATCATTATTTCTGTTGACAGAAAACTTGTGAATGGTGACTAGAAATAAACATATTAATTTCCAGCAATCTCAGGTCTGTCCCTTGTCAAAATGGCTTATCAGCTGGTGTACAGAGGCCATTCAAAAATGGAAAAAAGGTTTTACTGAAAAACTTGGAAATTTGAAATTATTTTCATATCACAAGCTTTTACATTTTTTCAGTTAAAAGCTTTTTTTCAGTTTTGTAACTGAAAGGTACATTAGGGCTTGTTTCTAAATATTTTCCCATCACTGCTTTTAATGTAGTTTCCTTTTCATTCCTTTTTTCTGGATCTGCTCAAAGCAACTCTAGCTTTGCAGAAATTATTGTGTAACAAAGGGAAAAATTAAACCAATACTCATGATATTCTGTACCTCAAAAGCTGAATAAGTAATAAAAATACTCAGTGACAACAGGAAAAAGAAAAGCAACACATTTTAACAATATGGACATTATAAAATCCTAACCATTTATTTTATTGGACTTATTGGCAGCAAGTAATAAAGGAAAGGAAGTCACAACATTCTCAAAAGTTTAAACTTCTTATGAAATGTTTTAAAGCTTGATGTCATTTTTGAGAAAATGAGACTTTAAATTCCTTGCTCCTTTGTCATTATTCACTTATCTGATGCACATGAACAATAAGACAGAACTGAAGCCGCTGCTCCTTTTTTCAGAGCACTATAATTTTATTGAATATTGACTCTGTTCTGTCTGATCCTGGAAAATGGGAGACATCTGATCAGTTCAACCCAGGCCACTTTCTGGATAAAGACGGAAATTTTGTAAACAGAGAAGCATTCTTACTGTTTTCAATAGGTATGTGCACTGAACAGGGATTTATTTACTCCATGTGATAACAACTTAAGATCTATTCATTCTCCAACATAACTGGGAAGCCATCTACAAACAGGTGTATAAACCATTCCACTGTTTTAAAGATCTCCAGGAAGAGGGAAGCCCAATTGTATGTGGAAAAGATTGGAAGAGAAGGAATGACACATAGAAAAGTTTCTCTTGGAAGACAGATCCAGTTTCTCTTGGAGGAGAGATCCAGTTATCAAAACAGTAGCAGCAACACGCGTAGTACTAGCAAGACTGTAAATGTAAACTATGCAACCCTGGTGATCATTTCTATAATGCCTTACTACCTGCTGTACATATATATGAAACCTTTTGGTGGAAATACAAGCAGCCTTTCAGTTCTGAATCATTAAATGACAAAGTCAGTTAAGAGAAAAGAACAATGTCTGTGGAAAACAAGCAAACAAAAAACCCAAGCAGGTTAGAAAGGGAGGTTTGATAGAAATCCTTTGGTTGATTGCCTTTTCTGTCTTTTCACAGGGCACTGTGTGTGTATTGGGGAGCTGTTGGCAAGCTCTTTATTGTCTTTTCCACCCTGTTACAGGCATTCACACTCACTCTCCCAGAAGAACTGAAAGAAGTCAATACAAAGCTTGGTTTTGGGAGCACAATGAAGCCACCTCCCTACCAGCTCTATGCCATTCCTTGGTAGGAAATGGTGCCCCACAGATTCAGGGAAGGCTTACTCTGCAAGATTGTTGCTGCATGTGAATTCCTTTTTATGTGTCCTAAGATTTTTGCTTTCCTCTTGATTTGATTAGTCACTACCCTGAAAGATGCTTTTCAGACAGTTGCATCCTGAGGATTGTACCGACAGAGAGATAATCTTTCGTTCTTGTTTTCTATTTGGAAAATCTTGGTAAATTTCTCCTGATGTGTAACAAATAAAGACACTAGGGGAAGAATTAGAATTGGGCCTTGTTTATTGCTAACTGGAAAGAGGATTTGCAGAGAAAGAGCTTGAAGCAAAGTCTGTAAATTAGAAGTCTTATAATTAAAGATCTGTGCATTCTTTCTCATAAGCCACAGTTGCATTTGTGGAGATAGGCTTAGAGGTCTTTCAATCTGTCTCAGGATATTAGTAATTATGAAGAAAATGGAGCCTATGCAACCTCATAAATACGTTTTCCATCAAATAAAGTAAGATGAATGCCATGCCTCAGATCTAAAACAACCCACAGTCGTGTTTCTTTTCCAGTGTGAGAGAACCATATTCCAGGCTAGCTCCAGCTGCACCACCGGTTAAAGTGTCTACTAAGCTCAAAAACAAGTAAGGTTTGAAGCTATCAAGCGTCAACAAATTAGTTTTTTCCCAACACCCTGGTTCCTTCCAGAACCTCTGCCTCCTCTTCTTCCCCATGTTTGTCTCACCTCTCCAAAGCGTTCTGTTATCTTTACAGTCTTTATCATCTTTCCAACCTACCTCATTTTCTCATTTATCCTAACTTTTTTTCACTTCATTTTTGTTCTTGAGTCAAGGCTGTCCCTTGACTCTTCTTCCACCAGAAGATGTCATGCAGTTTCACAAGTTATTAAAGAGAATAAGGTCACCCCCACTGTTCTAGAAGGACTGTTACAAGTGGCTAAAAGTACAGTTTTGAGCCCAGTCTCTAGACAAGTTTTTGGGGTCATTTGAGAATTAGTAAGATTTTAATTTCAGGTTCTTTTTAATATGCCTTGGATGTTTGAGCCTTAAGGATCTGAATAGATTACAAAATATTCCTGGGTAAACTAGAATCTAATCCTGCAGTGTCACCCAATATGAGGTAAAAACATATCTGCATACTCTTACGCTGTAGTAATCTGTGGTTAAGTGTCTGGTCATACTTTCTAGGGAAAACCACACATGCCAGATTAAATGCAAACATTCCAGAGCACGAAACTCAGCTTTGAATGCGCTTGCTATGCAAGCCGTGTGTAGTGAGTGGCTCCAAAGGAAGCTCCGCTCCCCTTTTAGAAAGGAGAGAAGGTGAAATGCCTCCTTAGGGAGGAGAGTGGGAAATACCACTATTCCAGCTCTCTTCATCCCTTTTCTAGGGCTAAGAGACAAACCCAGGAAAGAAATAATCTAAATGACAGTCTTGATTTTCCTGGGGTACACCCTTTCAAGTGTGGCTTCCCTCGTGTTTTCTGGTGCCTGCTGAAGGAGAGAGCAGCCAACTGAACTTGCTATAATAAACATGGTAGCTTTGTCTTTCTGCCTTCAGGAGCTGATGCTAATTGTAGAAGAGCGCAGAGCAGAGAGGGACTAACAGCTTAAGGTGACTACACACCCCGCTTTTCCTGTAAGTAGTGTGAGTTTCTGAGAGGGGATGCAGTCCCCACCAAGCAAAAAAAAAGATGGAGGACAGGTGTGGAGCAGACATATATATAAAAGGGTACTAGTCATCCTATTCTCCACAGATCACTCTACCCTCCTTTCCTTGCTTCTATCTCACTTTCAAAATCCACTTCAAGTGTTCTCTTGCTTCATCTGCCTTTCTGCTTTCAATTTTTGCTGCCAGTTTGGCTGCATTTGGCTTCACTCTTTGCCACAAAGGCTGGTGTGAAATAAGGTTTCGGAGGACCACACACACTTTATGTATGTCGTAGTGAATCCAGGTAGGGCTGAAGTACCTTGTGATAATTTCCAAACACATATGAAATTGGTTCATAAAATAACAAGATCTCTTTACTAATTGCCTTCAGAGGAAGCTCTAGCCAATTTCTTTGAACTTGGTAGAGAGCTCAACTCTGAACTGATGCACAAAAAGACTCTTAAGAGAGGAAAAACACATCTTTAGCCTCTCCTGTCTCCTAATGTAGCTGCTTGCTCGTTCAGCCCCTTTCCATTTAATGTGCTTTTTTACACCTGTGTTTCCAACTCGCCTGCACATTCCCCCATTCATTTTCTTCCTTATCCAATGTCCTCCATCTCCAAGTTTTTCTTTGGATATCGTCTAGTCCTGTGCTGTCTGCTGTTCCTTCTTATGCTTTCCTCACTGAAATCTCTCCACCTATTCTTCTCATCTCACCTCACCTCACTCCCATCTGTTGTAACATATATTTGGCAGATGTTCCATCTTCTTTCTGATTCTCTCTTGTATGCTCTTTCTGATTTTACTCCTTTTCCTACACTATGCAGTTGTTTGTCTTTCCCTC